GTGTTTGGAGGACAAAGAATGCTGAGTTGCATCCAAAGAACACCATACCTACTGTGAAGCATGGGGGTGGAAACATCATGCTTTGGGGCTGTTTTTCTGCAAAGGGACCAGGACGACTGATCCGTGTAAAGGAAAGAATGAATGGGGCCATGTATCGTGACATTTTGAGTGAAAACCTCCTTCCATCAGCAAGGGCATTGAAGATGAAACGTGGCTGGGTCTTTCAGCATGACAATGATCCCAAACACACCGCCCGGGCAACGAAGGTGTGGCTTCGTAAGAAGCATTTCAAGGTCCTGGAGTGGCCTAGCCAGTCTCCAGATCTCAACCCCATAGAAAATCTTTGGAGGGAATTGAAAGTCTGTGTTGCCCAGCGACAGCCCCAAAACATCACTGCTCTAGAGGAGATCTGCATGGAGGAATGGGCCAAAATACCAGCAAAAGTGTGTGAAAACCTTGTGAAGACTTACAGAAAACGTTTGACCTGTGTCATTGCCAACAAAGGGTATATAACAAAGTATTGAGAAACTTTTGTTATTGACCAAATACTTATTTTCCACCATCATTTGCAAATAAATTCATTAAAAATCCTACAATGTTATTTTCTGGATTTTTTTCCCTCATTTTGTCTGTCATAGTTGACGTGTACCTATGATGAAAATTACAGGACTCTCTCATCTTTTTAAGTGGGAGAACTTGCACAATTGGTGGCTGACTAAATACTTTTTTCCCCCACTGTGTATATATATATATATATATATATATATATATATATATATATATATATATATATACAGTGGGGAGAACAAGAATTTGATACACTGCCGATTTTGCAGGTTTTCCTACTTACAAAGCAAGTAGAGGTCTATAATTTTTATCATAGGTACACTTCAACTGTGAGAGACGTAATCCAAAAATCCAGAAAATCACATTGTATGATTTCTAAGTAAATAATTTGCATTTTATTGCATGACATAAGTTTTTGATACATCAGAAAAGCAGAACTTAATATTTGGTACAGAAACCTTTGTTTGCAATTACAGAGATCATACGTTTCCTGTAGGTCTTGACCAGGTTTGCACACACTGTAGCAGGGATTTTGGCCCACTCCTCCATACAGACCTTCTCCAGATCCTTCAGGTTTCGGGGCTGTCGCTGGGCAATACGGACTTTCAGCTCCCTCCAAAGATGTTCTATTGGGTTTAGGTCTGGAGACTGGCTAGGCCACTCCAGGACCTTGAGATACTTCTTACGGAGCCACTCCTTAGTTGCCCTGGCTCTGTGTTTCGGTTCGTTGTCATGCTGGAAGACCCAGCCTCGACACATCTTCAATGCTCTTACTGAGGGAAGGAGGTTGTTGGCCAAGATCTCGCGATACATGGCCCCATCCATCCTCCCCTCAATACGGTGCAGTCGTCCTGTCCCCTTTGCAGAAAAGCATCCCCAAAGAATTATGTTTCCACCTCCATGCTTCACGGTTGGGATGGTGTTCTTGGGGTTGTACTCATACTTCTTCTTCCTCCAAACACGGCGAGTGGAGTTTAGACCAAAAAGCTATATTATTGTCTCATCAGACCACATGACCTTCTCCCATTCCTCCTCTGGATCATCCAGATGGTCATTGGCAAACTGCAGATGGGCCTGGACATGCACTGGCTTGAGCAGGGGGACCTTGCATGCACTGCAAGATTTTAATACATGACGGTGTAGTGTGTTACTAATGGTTTTCTTTGAGATTGTGATCCCAGCTCTCTTCAGGTCATTGACCAGGTCCTGCCATGTAGTTACACATACACATACCCACACATATATATATATATATATATATATATATATATATATATATATATATATATATATATATATATATATATATATATATATATATATATCTACAGTGGGGAGAACAAGTATTTGATACACTGCTGATTTTGCAGGTTTTCCTACTTACAAAGCATGTAGAGGTCTGTAATGTTTATCATAGGTACACTTCAACTGTGAGAGGCGGAATCTAAAACAAAAATCCAGAAAATCACATTGTATGATTTTTAAGTAATTAATTTGCATTTTATTGCATGACATAAGTATTTGATCACCTACCAACCAGTAAGAATTCCGGCTCTCACAGACCTGTTAGTTTTTCTTTAAGAAGCCCTCCTGTTCTCCACTTATTACCTGTATTAACTGCACCTGTTTGAACTCGTTACCTGTATAAAAGACACCTGTCCACACACTCAATCAAACAGACTCCAACCTCTCCACAATGGCCATGACCAGAGAGCTGTATAAGGACATCAGGGATAAAATTGTAGACCTGCACAAGGCTGGGATGGGCTACAGGACAATAGGCAAGCAGCTTGGTGAGAAGGCAACAACTGTTGGCGCAATTATTAGAAAATGGAAGAAGTTCAAGATGACGGTCAATCACCCTTGGTCTGGGGCTCCATGCATGATTTCACCTCGTGGGGCATCAATGATCATAAGGAAGGTGAGGGATCAGCCTAGAACTACACGGCAGGACCTGGTCAATGACCTGAAGAGAGCTGGGACCACAGTCTCAAAGAAAACCATTAGTAACACACTACGCCGTCATGGATTAAAATCCTTTAGCGCACGCAAGGTCCCCCTGCTCAAGCCAGTGCATGTCCAGGCCCGTCTGAAGTTTGCCAATGACCATCTGGATGATCCAGAGGAGGAATGGGAGAAGGTCATGTGGTCTGATGAGACAAAAATAGAGCTTTTTGGTCTAAACTCCACTCGCCGTGTTTGGAGGAAGAAGAAGGATGAGTACAACCCCAAGAACACCATCCCAACCGTGAAGTGACATGAAGCATGGAGGTGGAAACATAATTATTTGGGGATGCTTTTCTGCAAAGGGGACAGGATGACTGCACCGTATTGAGGGGAGGATGGATGGGGCCATGTATCGCGAGATCTTGGCCAACAACCTCCTTCCCTCAGTAAAAGCATTGAAGATGGGTCGTGGCTGGGTCTTCCAGCATGACAACGACCCGAAACACGCAGCCAGGCAACTAAGGAGTGGCTCCGTAAGAAGCATATCAAGGTCCTGGAGTGGCCTAGCCAGTCTCCAGACCTGAACCCAATAGAACATCTTTGGAGGGAGCTGAAAGTCCGTATTGCCCAGCCACAGCCCAGAAACCTGAAGGATCGGGAGAAGGTCTGTATGGAGGAGTGGGCAAAAAGCCCTGCTGCAGTGTGTGCAAACCTGGTCAAGACCTACAGGAAACGTATGATCTCTGTAATTGCAAACAAAGGTTTTTGTACCAAATATTAAGTTCTGCTTTTCTGATGTATCAAAAACTTATGTCATGCAATAAAATGCAAATTAATTACTTAAAAATCATACAATGTGATTTTCTGGATTTTTGTTTTAGATTCCGTCTCTCACAGTTGAAGTGTACCTATGATAAAAAATACAGATCTCTTCATGCTTTGTAAGTAGGAAAACCTGCAAAATTGGCAGTGTATCAAATACTTGTTCTCCCTACTGTACCTTTAAAAAAAGGTAGGGTCGTGGTTCAGAAAACCATTCAGTATCTGGTGTGACCATCATTTGCCTCATGCAGCGCGACACAACTCCTTCGCATAGATCAGGCTTTTGATTGTGGCCTGTGCATTGTTTTTCCACTCCTCTTCCAATGGCTGTGTCAAGTTGCTGGATATTGGCGGGAACTGGATCACGATGTGGCAAATGTCGATCCAGAGCATCCCAAACATGCTCAATGGGTGCCATGTCTGGTGAGTATGCAGGCCATTTTCTGCTTCCAGGAAATGTGCACAGATCCGTGCGACATGGGGCCATGCATTATCATGCTGAAACATGAGGTGATGGCGGCAGATGAATGGTGCCACAGTGGGCCTCAGAATCTTATCACGGTATCTCTGTGCATTGAAATTGCCATCGATAAAATACAAAAGTGTTCATTTTCTGTAGCTTATGCCTGCCCATACCATAACCCTACCTCCATCTTCAGTTGTGCAAACCGACAGTTTCAACAGCTGTCCGGGAGGCTTGTCTCAGACGATCCCGCAGCTTAAGAAGCCAGATGTGGAGGTCCTGGGCTGGCGTGGTTACACGTGGTCTGCGGTTGTGAGGCCGGTTGGACATACTGCCAAATTCTCTAAAACAACGTTGGAGGCCTATGGTAGAGAAAGGAACATTAAATTATCTGGCAACAGCTCTGGTGGACATTCCTTCAGTCAGCATGCCAATTGCATGCTCCCTCAAAACTTGAGACATCTGTGGCATTGTGTTGTGTGGCAAAACTACACATTTTAGAGTGGCCTTTTATTGTCCCCAGCACAAGTTGCACCTGTTTAATGATTATGCTGTTCAATCAGCTTCTTGATATGCCACACCTGTCAGGTGGGTGGATTATCTTGGCAAAGGAGACATGCTCACTAACATGGCTGTAAACAAATTTGTGCCCAAAATTTGAGCGAAATAAGCTTTTTGTGCTTATGGAACATTTCTGGGATATTTTATTTCAGCTCATGAAACATGGGACCAACACTTTAATTGTTGCGTTTATATTTTTGCTCAGTATATGTAGGCTTGCCATAACAAAAGTGTTGAATACTAAATGACTCAAGACATATCAGCTTTTCATTTTTAATTAATTTGAAAACATTTTTAAAAACATAATTCTACTTTGACTTTATGTGATATTTTGTGTATGCCAGTAACAAAACATCTTAATTTAATACATTTTCAATTCATGCTGTAAAACAACTAAATGTGGAAAAAGTCAAGGGGTGTGAATACTTTCTGAAGCCACTGCACTTGAGCTTGTGTCCTCAAAAGTGAGTACACCTCAGCAATTTATAACTATTTTAACCAGAAAGGTGAGTTCCGTACCTTTCTAAAACTATGCAACATTACCAGTTATTGTTTATGGCCATCTCATGAAACATTATGACGTTTGGCTATATCTATTTAGGCGGAAATCTAAATGTAATCCAATTTTGATCCTGTCAGAGAGTGCTTCCAATGTCCTCCTCATGTTGTGCTGTTTGTTTTCTTGTTGGTTGCAGGTGAGTTCCAAGTGAATAACCGGACAGGTGTGATCTCCACGGCTAAGCCTCTGGATTATGAGACTGTTACCAGCTACGTGCTCAGGGTCCAGGCTGACTCCATGGCCGTGGTCATGGCCCAACTGCGGGTTCCCTCCAAAAGTAAGACGGGGGTATTTAACTGCACATAAGGGGGCTGGGACGCTACATCAAGTATTCGCCTTTCTGGCTAGATACTGTGGTTGACATTGGTATCGTGGTCCTAAGAGGAGTTGACACATAAGATGTGCCCCCCACCCACTCAAACACTTGCACACACTGTTGATAGAGGTTAAATGTAAAATGGAATGGCGAAAGACTGAGCAACATAGTGGAGGTGAAATCATTTTTGGCCCACATCAGAGAAACCATCTTCACCTCTTCAACCGTCCTACTCCCTCTGCTCATTCTTAGCCCTATGCCACATGACTTTACAATTCTGTGCACTGCTGGAAGACAAATGATCTTTGACAGCTCATACTTTTTTACCTAAACTGCAGTGCGGGGCAGGGTAGGGTTGTGCTAGTTTTGTACATACTGTATTTGTACTGTATAAGAAAAACTGTGACAAATAGATATGGAGCAGTGGAGGCTCCTCAGAGGAGGAAGGGGAGGATCATCCTCCTCAGTGAGTTTCATAAAAATAAAAATTGTAAAACATTAAAAATATTATCATTTTTAGATAAAACTATACTAAAGATATTCATTTCACCAAATAATTTATTAAAATACACTGTTTTGCAATGAAGGTATACAGTAGCCTCAACAGCACTCTGTAGGGTAGCACCATGGTGTAGCCGGAGGACAGCTAGCTTCCGTCCTCCTCTGGGTAGATTGACTTCAATACAAAACCTAGGAGGCTCATGATTCTCACCCCCTTCCATAGACTTACACAATAATTATAACAACTTCCGGAGGACGTCCTCCAACCTAACAGAGCTCTTGCAGCATGAACTGACATGTTGTCCACCCAAGCAAAGGATCAGAGAATGTATCTAGTACTGAAAGCATAAGCTACAGCTAGCTAGCACTGCAGTGCATAAAATGTGGAGATGAAGGAGACACAAGAGATTTTGTGATTATTTTTCACTTTCAGTTTCACTTACTTAGCTAGCAAATGCAGCTAGCTAGTTTAGCCTACTCAAACACCCTGCTCAAACAGAGGGATGCTATGTTAGCTAGCTGGCTATGACTATCCAACACAACACTGGAACTCTTCAAAGTCAAGGTAAGCTTTTGGTTTTACTAATTTATTGCCACTGGGGCCCGCCGGTGTAACTGCTAACTGACTATACACTGTAAACTTACTGCATGATTGTAGCGGGTTTACTAACGTGTTAGTTCTATTAGCTATGTTGACTATGACGTTTCTTTAGCTATTATGGTGACAACGATGTAGGCTGTGTGTAGCAGTTATGATATGGGTTGGCTTGGATTTTTTTTTTTTTCTTCGCTTGGTCACATACAGCTGATGTGTTGTGCATTGAAGTCCACAAATGAAGGGAAAAGGTGAGTGGAGGAGAGCTCATAGATGCGAGAAGGAATACAACGTGGCTGCTATGAAAGTGAACTGTGTTGACGCTTGACATGGGCTGTATTCATTCCGCCGATTCTGTTGAAAACCATTTCTTAAAAGGAAGCAAACGGAACGAAAGGGGGATAAACATAACTGAATTTGACCAATAGAAACTCTCGTTTGCAACTGTTGGACTAATGATTATACCCTAGATCAGCTAAATGCAGGCAAGAGTGTGCAAGGCGGTATTGTCTGTCCATGTGTCACTGTCTGTCATCTCAACATTTTCTCTCAACCTGTGTGCACCTACGTTGTAATCTTTCATTCATAGGCTAGGTTGTAGCAACCTCATGAGTATCATGTAGTAGCCTAAACCAATCGATGTTACATTGCACTGGGTGAATGGAACATGAATGACAGTCATCCAATATGCTGTAATAGAAATAAGGCCATGCTCATGAGAAAAAATAAATGGTCCTCCCTCATCTTAAACGGCACTGACCGCCACTGGTATAGAGTGTGTTTACCTGTACTTCAAGCTCTTTTCCTTGAGGACAACATGGCATATGAATGGGAATAGCAAAAGGAGCACATATTTTATTATTTTATTATGAACCTGTGTGTTGGAGTTTTATTTTGCTATAAAACTCCCCTTCCCAACCAACACTTATCTCCTCTAAACTATGGTATGTACTGTAAAGGATTGAACATTAAAGTTGTGTGCACTTGCTGCCCTGTTTGTCTGGATAAAACGATATGCTTCATGACAAAAAATGTGACTGTGTCCCTCCTCTAACTCTGCAGCCAACACAGCCAAGGTGTATATCGAGTTGCAGGATGAGAACGACCACCCGCCTGTCTTCACCAAAAAGTTCTACATCGGTGGTGTGGCTGAAGATGCCAACACCTTCTCCTCTGTGCTGAAGATAATAGTGAGAAAGACCTTCTGATACTCATCCTTATATGAGTACCCCCCCCCCCCCCCCCCCCCCCCCCCCCCCCCCACTCACACACACACTAACACACACACGCACATACATACACACTCTACCTTCTTAACAGCACTATCAACAAGGCAGGTCCTACAGGCTCTAGTTTTGTCGCACCTGGACTACTATTCAGTCGTGTGGTCAGGTGCCACAAAGAGGGACTTAGTAAAATTACAATTGGCTCAGAACAGGGCAGCACGGCTGGCCCTTGGATGTACACATAGAGCAAACATTAATAATATGCATGTCAATCTCTCCTGGCTCAAAGTAGAGGAGAGAATGACTTCGTCACTCAATAGGGTAGGCCTATTGAGTTGAAGCAGAGTCACTTAATTTGATTGCATATTTCAAGGGTGATTGCTGAATAGAAGTATATTTTCCAACCCATTCTTGCTCTCAATGCCACTTAGTGGCCCAGTGTTCATTTTATGCACACAAACAAATCTGAACCTTTGTTCTCAAGTGCTTTTACAAACAATATTGAGATTAAGCTAGGGTTGCAAAGGGAGGGCATGTTACCGGTAATTTCTGAAACTTTCAAGGATTGTTGATTAGATGCTTTTTTAATTAATTAATCTATATTCTCTTGAACCATATGGTCTAGACCAGGGATGGGCAACTGGCGGCCCGCGGACCGCATGCAGCCCTCGGTCCCCCCTTTTGTAGGCCCGCGAACCAATTTCCAAAAACTCAGTCGGGGTCTGAACTTACTGTTGAGAGTTAGAATAATAGAATACACAAGGTGCAATTTCGAAATTTGGTTGTGCATCAGTGGTCTAAGGCACTGCATCGCAGTGCTAACTGTGCCACTAGAGATCCTGGTTCGAATCCAGGCTCTGTCGCAGCCGGCCGCGACCGGGAGACTCATGGGCGCCGCACAATTGGCCCAGCGTCGTCCAGGGTAGGGGAGGGAATGGCCGGCAGGGATGTAGCTCAGTTGATAGAGCATGGCGTTTGCAACGCCAGGGTTGTGGGTTTGATTCCCACGGGGGGCCAGTATAAAAAAATAAATATGTATTCACTAACTGTAAGTCGCTCTGGATAAGAACGTCTGCTAAATGACTAAAATGTAAAATGTAATTCACTTACAGTCACTCAATTAGTCCATGTCAGCTAAAAAAAATGTAGATTCCTAAATTAGTCTAGCCAGATATCTAAACTTGTAGTAATCATGGTCAAATTACTGACTGGGGGGTCCCCATTGATTTTGTTAGTCACTTTCACTCGGATATCATATTAAAAACTGCAAACCTTTCTCTCCACCCTATGGCAAAATGAGTAAAATTGCAAAATGTGTAAAATTATCTGTAAAAGTGCACTTTCTTCTCTTCACCCTATGGCAAAATGAATTGCATGACATTTTGGGACAGAGCTGCTTGGCACATATGCACATAGAATACACACAAATGGAGGGTATAGAATAGACTATTGAGGCAACTTCAACTAACAAATCAAACTAACATATACAGTGAGGGGAAAAGTATTTGATCCCCTACTGATTTTTGATGGTTGCCCACTGACAAAGACATGATCAGTCTATAATTTTAATGGTAGGTTTATTTGAACAGTGAGAGACAGAATAACAACAACAAAATCCAGAAAAACGCATGTAAAAAATGTTATAAATTGATTTGCATTTTAATGAGGGAAATAAGTATTTGACCCCTCTGAAAAACATTACTTAGTACTTGGTGTCAAAACCCTTGTTGGCAATCACAGAGGTCAGACGTTTCTTGTAGTTGGCCACCAGGTTTGCAGACATCTCAGGAGGGATGTTGTCCCACTCCTCTTTGCAGATCTTCTCCAAGTCATTAAGGTTTTGAGGCTGACTTTTGGCAACTATAACCTTCAGCTCCCTCCACAGATTTTCTATGGGATTAAGGTCTGGAGACTGGCTAGGCCACTCCAGGACCTTAATGTGCTTCTTCTTGAGCCACTCCTTTGTTTCCTTGGCCGTGACTTTTGGGTCATTGTCATGCTGGAATACCCATCCACGACCCATTTTCAATGCCCTGGCTGAGGGAAGGAGGTTCTCACCCAAGATTTGACGGTACATGGCCCCGTCCATCGTCCCTTTGATGCAGTAAAGTTGTCCTGTCCCCTTTGCAGAAAAACACCCTCAAAGCATAATGTTTCCACCTCCATGTTTGATGGTGGGGATGGTGTTCTTGGGGTCATAGGCAGCATTCCTCCTCCTACAAACACGGCGAGTTGAGTTGATGCTAAAGAGCTCGATTTTGGTCTCATCTTACCACAACACTTTCACCCAGTTCTCCTCTGAATCATTCAGATGTTCATTGGCAAACTTCAGACGGCCTGTATATGTGCTTTCTTGAACAGGGGGACCTTGCGGGCGCTGCAGGATTTCAGTCCTTGACGGCGTAGTGTGTCACCAATTGTGACTCCACAAACTCCACGAGGTGAGATCTTGCATGGAGCCCCAGGCCGAGGGAGATTGACAGTTATTTTGTGTTTCTTCCATTTGCGAATAATCGCACCAACTGTTGTAACCTTCTCACCAAGCTGATTGGCGATGGTCTTGTAGCCCATTCCAGCATTGTGTAGGTCTACAATCTTGTCCCTGACATCCTAGGAGAGCTCTTTGGTTTTGGCCATGGTGGAGAGTTTGGAATCTGATTGATTGAATGCTTCTGTGGACAGGTGTCTTTTATACAGGTAACAAGCTGAGATTAGGAGCACTCCCTTTAAGAGTGTGCTCCTAATCTCAGCTCGTTACCTGTATAAAATACACCTGGGAGCCATAAATCTTTCTGTTTGAGAGGGGGGTCAAATACTTATTTCCCTCATTAAAATGCAAATCAATTCATAACATTTTTGCCATGCGGATTTTTTTGTTGTTATTTTGTCTCTCACTCTTCAAATAAACCTACCATAAAAATTATAGACAGATCATTTCTTTGTCAGTGGGCAAACATACAACATCAGCAGGGGATCAAATACTTTTTTCCCTCACTGTAAGTACAGTTGAAGTCGGAAGTTTACATACAGTGGGGGAAAAAGGTATTTAGTCAGCCACCAATTGTGCAAGTTCTCCCACTTAAAAAGATGAGAGAGGCCTGTAATTTTCATCATAGGTACACGTCAAATATGACAGACAAAATTAGGAAAAAAAATCCAGAAAATCACATTGTAGGATTTTTTATGAATTTATTTGCAAATTATGGTGGAAAATAAGTATTTGGTCAATAACAAAAGTTTCTCAATACTTTGTTATATACCCTTTGTTGGCAATGACACAGGTCAAACGTTTTCTGTAAGTCTTCACAAGGTTTTCACACACTGTTGCTGGTATTTTGGCCCATTCCTCCATGCAGATCTCCTCTAGATTAGTGATGTTTTGGGGCTGTCGCTGGGCAACATGGACTTTCAACTCCCTCCAAAGATTTTCTATGGGGTTGAGATCTGGAGACTGGCTAGGCCACTCCAGGACCTTGAAATGCTTCTTACGAAGCTACTCCATCGTTGCCCGGGCGGTGTGTTTGGGATCATTGTCATGCTGAAAGACCCAGCCACGTTTCATCTTCAATGCCCTTGCTGATGGAAGGAGGTTTTCACTCAAAATCTCATGATACATGGCCCCATTCATTCTTTCCTTTACACGGATCAGTCGTCCTGTTCCCTTTGCAGAAAAACAGCCCCAAAGCATGATGTTTCCACCCCCATGCTTCACAGTAGGTATGGTGTTCTTTGGATGCAACTCAGCATTCTTTGTCCTCCAAACACGACGAGTTGAATTTTTACCAAAAAGTTATATTTTGGTTTCATCTGACCATATGATATTCTCCCAATCCTCTTCTGGATCATCCAAATGCACTCTAGCAAACTTCAGACGGGCCTGGACATGTACTGGCTTAAGCAGGGGGACACGTCTGGCACTGCAGGATTTGAGTCCCTGGTGGCGTAGTGTGTTACTGATGGTAGGCTTTGTTACTTTGGTCCCAGCTCTCTGCAGGTCATTCACTAGGTCCCCCCGTGTGGTTCTGGGATATTTGCTCACCGTTCTTGTGATCATTTTGACCCCACGGGGTGAGATCTTGCGTGGAGCCCCAGATCGAGGGAGATTATCAGTGGTCTTGTATGTCTTCCATTTCCTAATAATTGCTCCCACCGTTGATTTCTTCAAACCAAGCTGCTTACCTATTGCAGATTCAGTCTTCCCAGCCTGGTGCAGGTCTACAATTTTGTTTCTGGTGTCCTTTGACAGCTCTTTGGTCTTGGCCATAGTGGAGTTTGGAGTGTGACTGTTTGAGGTTGTGTACAGGTGTCTTTTATACTGATAACAAGTTCAAACATGTGCCATTAATACAGGTAACAAGTGGAGGACAGGGGAGCCTCTTAAAGAAGAAGTTACAGGTCTGTGAGAGCCAGAAATCTTGCTTGTTTGTAGGTGACCAAATACTTATTTTCCACCATAATTTGCTAATAAATTCATTACAAATCCTACAATGTGATTTTCTGGATTTTTTTTCCTCATTTTGTCTGTCATAGTTGACGTGTATCTATGATGAAAATTACAGGCCTCTCTCATCTTTTTAAGTGGGAGAACTTGCACAATTGGTGGCTGACTAAATACTTTTTTTCTCCACTGTACACCTTAGCCAAATACATTTAAACTCAGTTTTTCACAATTCCTGACATTTAATCCTAGTAAAAATGCCCTGTTTTAGGTCAGTTAGGATCACCACTTTATTTTAAGAATGTGAAATGTCAGAATAATAGTAGAGAGAATGATTTATTTCAGTATTTATTTATTTCATCACATTCCCAGTGGGTCAGACGTTTACATAAACCCAATTAGTATTTGGTGGCATTGCCTTTAAATTGTATAACTTGGGTCAAACCTTTCGGGTAGCCTTCCACAAGCTTCCCACAATAAGTTGGGTGAAATTTGGCCCATTCCTCCTGACAGAGCTGGTGTACCTGAGTCAGGTTTGTAGGCCTCCTTGTTCGCACACGCTTTTTCAGTTCTGCCCACAGATTTTCTATAGGATTGAGGTCAGGGCTTTGTGATGGCCACTCCAATACCTTGACTTAGTTGTCCTTAAGCCATTTTGCCAAAACTTTGGAAGTATGCTTGTGGTCATTGTCCGTTTGGAAGACCCATTTGCGACCAAGCTTTAACTTCCTGACTGATGTCTTGAGATGTTTCTTCAATATATCCACATCATTTTCCTTCCTCATGATGCCATCTATTTTGTGAAGTGCACCAGTCCCTCCTGCAGCAAAGCACCCCCACAGCATGATGCTGCCACCCCCGTTCTTCACGGTTGGGCTGGTGTTCTTCGGCTGGCCAGCATCCCCCTTTTTCCTCCAAACATAACAATGGCCATTATGGCGAAACAGTTATATTTCTGTATCATCAGGCCAGAGGACATTTCTCCAACAAGGACGATCTTTGTCCCCATGTGCAGTTGCAAACTGTAGTCTGGCTTTTTTATGGCGGTTTTGGAGCGGTGGCTTCTTCCTTGCTGAGCGGCCTTTCAGGTTATGTCGATATAGGACTTGTTCAACTGTGGATATAGATACTTTTGCACCTGTTTCCTCCAGCATCTTCACAAGGTCCTTTGCTGTTGTTCTGGGATAGATTTGCACTTTTTGCACCAAAGTACGTTCATCTCTAGGAGACAGAATGCATGTCCTTCCTGAGCGGTATGACGGCTGCGTGGTCCCATAGTGTTTATACTTGCATACTATTGTTTGTACAGATGAACGTGGTACGTTCAGGTGTTTGGAAATTGCTCCCAAGGATGAACCAGACTTGTGGAGGTCTACAATTTTTTTCTGATGTCTTGGCTGATTTCTTTTGATTTTCCCATGATGTCAAGCAAAGAGGCACTGAGTTTGAAGGTAGGCCTTGAAATACATCCACAGGTACACCTCCAATTGACTCAAATTATGTCAATTAGCCTATCAGAAGCTTCTAAAGCCATGACATCATTTTCTGGAATGTTTTTAAAGGCACAGTCAACTTAGTGTATGTAAACTTCTGACCCACTGGAATTGTGATACAGTGAATTATAAGTGAAATAATCTGTCTGTAAACAATTGTTGGAAATATTACTTGTGTCATGCACAAAGTAGATGTCCTAATCGACTTGCCAAAACTATAGTTTGTTAACAAGAAATTTGTGGAGTGGTTGAAAAACAAGTTTTAATGACTCCAACCTAAGTGTCTGTTAACTTCTGACTTCCACTGTATGTCACTCTGGATAAGACCTTCTGCTAATTGACCAAAATATAAAATATTTTATATTAATATATATTTTTGAAGTTATTCAAGTATAGATTATCAAAGTTTCCATAGATTGGCAAACATTTCCTGATAATTACCCAAATTAAGGAAAAATCTGTTAACTTTTGTAAATTACCTGTACCTTCGAGTGGTATACAGTCTTATTTGAGAATATATTTTAAAACACCTGGTTTTCTGAGCAATCTTTCAAATTAGTAGGCCATGTAAACACTTTAATCGGTGTTCCAGCGGTGTATTTGATCTGCACATGTGCTAGCACCAGACAAGCAAGCCTCCCTCTTTAGCGCGAGTAAAGTAAGTTCGGAACAACTGAATGTATGAACTCAGAATCAAATATGCTTCCCAAAAATAACATGTGGTAAAATGTTTATTTTGATTGGCGATTTTCAGGTAAGCTGATTTCAGATGTGTCCATGTAAGCAGGATTATTAGGGAAATCATTATTCTTGCAAAGCATGTAAATGTTTTAATCAAACTAGACTATCTACAACAATCTCTTTATTGTGTGCATGTAACCATACTCAAAGATTGGGCTTCAATCCCTCCATCCTCCCATGCCAATACCTGGAGAGAAAAAAAAGGCATTGCACCTATTAATCAATGTCATTGCAGACAGGCACTCTGAGAATTGATGCCAGTGGCAGGGTGGACAGAGTCAATGGTCGTATCCGAAATCTGTCTTGCCTACTACTTAGTAAAACGACATACTGTGTACTAATCGTACTACAAACTATTTAGAACGTACTGTTTAATGAAAACGTGTGCAGTAAGCAACAAATATGAACATACTAGGCTCATCCACACTGAGAAAGCACCATCTCGAGCAATTGCTCTTGTTCCCCGCCATTCGTTCATTTTGGTAGCGCATGTACCCTATTCTGATTGTCAGCTGTTGTCAAACACACGTGGGTCTCGAAAGACAATTCTCTTCTTGAAAAGGGTTCAGCGAATTCTACTAGATGAATTAGTGCGAGAGCCTGGCATTTAAGACTCAATTTCCCCCTCTCCTGGCCAAATCACTCTCATCCTTCATGGAACAATGACAATAGTACATTTTATATGTGGCGACAAGGAAAGCAGCTCTGTTCCAAAATATGCCACCACAACTGAAGCACATTCATCATTACTGCCATTGTTAAAGCGATAGTTCACCCAAATTACAAAATTGCATATCTGTTTCATTACCCTGTAAGCGGTCTATCGTGTGGATGTGTTTGTGTGTGTGTGTGTGTGTGTGTGTGTGTGTGTGTGTATGTGGTTGTGTGTGGTTGTACGTTTTCTTTTCCCTAGGCCACTGATGCAGATACAGGGAACTACAGTGCCAATGCGTACCGGCTGATCATCCCGCCCACGGCAGACGGTCAGGACAGCTTTGTGATCGAGCAGTACACAGGCATCATCAAGACGGCCATCATGTACCACAACATGCGCAGATCCTACTTCAAGTTTGAGGTCATCGCCACCGACGACTACGGAGAGGGTCTGAGCAGCAGCGCCGATGTGGTGGTGAGTGTCTAGGGTCCTCAAACAACCCATATCCCTCTATGGTTTGAAACACACACACACATACACAGACACACACAATGTAAACCTTTATTTCCTCAAGTGTTTCTCATTAGGCAAGTGATATGAGACTACAAAGTCTGGCAGTTAGTAGTTTGTCCTCCGCTAACTGTGATCTTAACAGATGCCAAACAACCTCTGATGGGTGTATTAGTGTCAGACAGTATTCCTCTGAGCTGATGTATTCAGTAGGAAGCTACATGATGATGAAGCATGATTTATTTCCTATCTAGACTCTGTCTAGCTATCAATATATTACATTATTCAGAACAGTAACAGCACACCAGATGTATAATGTTTATGCCAGTGAACCCCTCTGCTTCGAGCTGATGATGCAATTCAACTATACATGGAGTGTGTTTTCCGCTCATTATAATTGCTCTCTTTTTTAATTTAGTCTTTTTTTAATTTTGTCTTTTTTTTGCCGCCCTGTGTTTGTGTGTGCATGTGCGTGTGTGTGTCTTTTTACTTAGACAATACATTTATCATTTGTTTTCAGTTTTTGGAGCCAGTGTTGCTCCTAATGTGTAGGGCTAACAAGTCTGCAATGACACAGAATGATTGTATGGGACGGGTGACAGCAGTGAGTGCTCAACGATGTTGCTCATTTTCAAGAGAAAATGTAATTTCATCGAGGCCGTGTGGGAGATTTGGCCTTAGAGCCAGTGCGCTTACTGCGCCGGCGAATATTAGGTGCCATTAGATTTGCCACATGGCACCAATACAAGCAGGCAATTCAGTTTCTCGTTTTGGCCACAAGGAGCATGTTAAGCATGAATGGACAACATTTACATATTCTCTCTCTCTCTCTCTCTCTCTCTCTCTCTCTCTCTCTCTCTCTCACACACACACTTTTTCTTCCTCTTACTGCTGCTCTCTCTCTCTCTCTTTTTCCTTCTCGCTCTCTCTCTCTCAGGTGTCTGTGGTCAACCAGCTGGATATGCAGGTGGTGGTGTCCAATGTCCCGCCCACCGTCGTGGAGGAGAATAAAGAGCAACTTATTGTGTAAGGCACCATTCAATCACTTTCTTTCAGCGTTATTGTCACAGTGAACATGCTTGGTTACATTGAAAACCTATTAGGTTCCTAAAGGCCCCTGAACACTCAACAGAAACAGGAGAGTGGAGTAAAAAGTATTACATCTATATAATATAAGCAGTGATTTTGTCTTTTATTTCCATTAAATAACATTTCCTCTACAGGGGCATCATACGTTTTCACTTTTTTTATTTTCTGAGAAGCACCTATAGTGGAATAGCATAGTGGGATTGCATAAAACATGTTTTCCTGTTGAGTAAGGGGTCTTGGTTCAAGGTGGCACGATGCAACTTGCAAATTCTGCTAGTGAAATTGTTTGTGTTGGATGAGAGGGTAGTCTCCAACTGTGTTTTGAGACTTCATGGAACAGAAAAAAAAGTTATAGCACTTCAGATGTTCTGGCATTTTTTAATTATCCCTGTGTTGCACAACTTACAGTAGGTCCTCAATGGCTTCACTATATGTTTACTTTCTGTCTCCCTTAACAAATGATTAGGCAATTAAAACCACTGATTGTCCAGATAGACAGTCAAATCTATCATTCTCAATCAGTAAATTATTTTAAAACAGCACAGTGTTTTTAGACAGATAAGATAATAAAATAAGAAGGTCATATACATTAATTATTTAAAAATCTCACATTAAATGACACTACCCCTCTAAGATTGCTCTATGCTTTGACAACTAAATAATGTGTTTAGTTAGTAATTCTGATAACATCTGCAAGGCCTCCCATTTTCCTTGGTCCTATTTGAGGCCCAGAACTATTACCTGGCTACGCTGTTCATCAGGCGCGGCAATCGGGTTGGAGAAACTACCCATTTAGTGGCTGTAATTTAAAGTGCCGATTTCGCTCAGCCTGAAATTGATTATGGGAGACCTGTTTTGCCAAGAGCAAAGACATACAGTGAGGGAAAAAAGTATTTGATCCCCTGCTGATTTTGTATGTTTGCCCACTGACAAAGAAATGATCAGTCTATAATTTGAATGGTAGTTTTATTTGAACAGTGAGAGACAGAATAACAACAACAAAATCCAGAAAAACGCATGTCAAAAATGTTATAAATTGATTTGCATTTTAATGAGGGAAATAAGTATTTGACCCCCTCTCAATCAGAAAGATTTCTGGCTCCCAGGTGTCTTTTATACAGGTAACGAGCTGAGATTAGGAGCACACTCTTAAAGGGAGTGCTCCTAATCTCAGTTTGTTACCTGTATAAAAGACACCTGTCCACAGAAGCAATCAATCAATCAGATTCCAAACCCTCCACCATAGCCAAGACCAAAGAGCTCTCCAAGGATTTCAGGGACAAGATTGTAGACCTACACAAGGCTGGAATGGGCTACAAGACCATCGCCAAGCAACTTGGTGAGAAGGTGACAACAGTTGGTGCGATTATTCGCAAATGGAAGAACCACAAAATAACTGTCAATCTCCCTCGGCCTGGGGCTCCATGCAAGATCTCACCTCGTGGAGTTGCAATGATCATGAGAACGGTGAGGAATCAGCCCAGAACTACACGGGAGGATCTTGTCAATGATCTCAAGGCAGCTGGGACCATAGTCACCAAGAAAATAATTAGTAACACACTACGCCGTGAAGGACTGAAATCCTGCAGCGCCCGCAAGGTCCCCCTGCTCAAGAAAGAACATATACAGGCCCATCTGAAGTTTGCCAATGAACATCTGAATGATTCAGAGGAGAACTGGGTGAAAGTGTTGTGGTCAGATGAGACCAAAATCGAGCTCTTTGGCATCAACTCAACTCGCCGTGTTTGGAGGAGGAGGAATGTTGCCTATGACCCCAAGAACACCATCCCCACCGTCAAACATGGAGGTGGAAACATTATGCTTTGGGGGTGTTTTTCTGCTAAGGGGACAGGACAACTTCACCGCATCAAAGGGACGATGGACGGGGCCATGTACCGTCAAATCTTGGTTGAGAACCTCCTTCCCTCAGCCAGGGCATTGAAAATGGGTCGTGGATGGGTATTCCAGCATGACAATGACCCAAACCACACGGCCAAGGCAACAAAGAGTGGCTCAAGAAGAAGCACATTAAGGTCCTGGAGTGGCCTAGCCAGTCTCCAGACCTTAATCCCATAGAAAATCTGTGGAGGGAGTTGAAGGTTTGAGTTGCCAAACGTCAGGCTCGAAACCTTAATGACTTGGAGAAGATCTGCAAAGAGGAGTGGGACAAAATCCCTCATGAGATGTGTGCAAACCTGGTGGCCAACTACAAGAAACGTCTGACCTCTGTGATTGCCAACAAGGGTTTTGCCACCAAGTACTAAGTCATGTTTTGCAGAGGGGTCAAATACTTATTTCCCTCATTAAAATGCAAATCAATTTATAACATTTTTGACATGTGTTTTTCTAGATTTTTGTTGTTGTTATTCTGTCTCTCACTGTTCAAATAAGCCTACCATTCAAATTATAGACTGATCATGTCTTTGTCAGTGGGCAAACGTACAAAATCAGCAGGGGATCAAATACTTTTTTCCCTCACTGTACTGACGTCCGTTTTACAACCATTCAAACTAGTGAAATCCCAACCAGCGAAATTCTTAAAAGCATGGCCTCAAACAGATATGGTCACACACAAGTAAGTTGTAAAATATGTTTCAGCATTATAAAGTCAATGTCATAATTTGTAAAGGGTGACAACACATGAAGGTGAAGTGAACCAGCGCAACCACTACTAACGTTTGATCAGCACATTGTACCACACAGTATGACAGAAGTATATGAATGATTCATAAAACCTTCACATCATTGTAAAGATGGCTGAAAAAATATGAAGGTAGTTATATGTAATGCTTCAGCTATACCTGCACTGTTAAACCTTTCCTGTTAACGTACATCATTATACTGGCACCAGAGTTGCCAGCTCAATACAGTGATTTTGCTTTACAGTAGAGATGCTGTAATACATTTACAGTACTATTTTCCATACTGTAAAACATATTACAGCATCCCTACCGTACATTTACAGCAGGGATGATGTAATGATACAACACCAATTATTAACTGGGTGATTTTTTTCTAGGTCGCACAGGAAGATATTTAGAGCAGACTGAAATGGCTTGTGTCAACTTGAGCTAGCTAAGAAAGCATGCCGTAATTCAATGTTGGCTAGCAATAAAGATACTTATAAACAAGTCAAGGTACCTAACCAGCAGCTGCTGAAAATATTATTCCACTTCATAGCAGCTTCAAGAAGATATTTATTAAAATATTCTGAGCTTCATGTGTCTCACCCGACAGCATGAGGTTGGCCCTGAAACGGATCATTTGAATCTACAGTAAGCATAAGCTGTAAACTCCCGAGTGGCGCAGTGGTCTAAGGCACTGCATCGCAGTGCTAGAGGTGTCACTACAGACCCAGGTTTGATCCCGGGCTGTATCACAACCGGCCGTGATCGGGAGTCCCATAGGGTGGCGCACAATTGGCCCAGCGTCGTCCAGGTTAGGGGAGGGTTTGGCCGGGGGGGCTTACTTGGCGTATCGCGCTCTAGTGACTTCTTGTGGTGGACCGGGTGCCTGCAGGCTGACCTTGGTCGTCAGTGTTTCCTCCGACACATTGTTGCGGCTGGCTTCCGAGTTAAGCGGGCGGGTGTTAAGAAGCGTGGTTAGGCGGGTCATGTTTTGGAGGATGCATGACTCGACCTTCGCCTCCCGAGCCAGTTGGGGAGTTGCAGCGATGAGACAAGATTGAAATTGGGGAGAAAAATGGGGTAAAAAATTATAAATAAAAGGATTTACAGTGTTTTACTGTTGAAATGTACAGAAAAGTCTTACAGTGTGGTACTATACTTTATTTTAAATATGAACAGACCACAATGGTTTTGTCTCCCAAACATCAGTATTATGGAGCGATACGTCCAGGACCAGATCCCAGGGGCCAAGGTGGTGGTAGAGTCAATCGGGCCACAGCGGTTCGGAGATGGCTTTGACCAGGAGGACTACACCAAGTCAGACCTGATGGTGTATGCCATTGATCCACTGACCAACAGGGCCATCTCACGCCAGGAGCTCTTTAAGTGAGTGAGCCAACACAATTAAATGAAAAGCTATTTTTCTCTTGCTACATACATTATTTGTCTTTTCTCCCTTCTACCCTATGAAATAGTCAGCAAATGCATTATCCTTATTGTTTCCAAGTGTGAAAAGATGTCATCAAGGCAAAGGTTGGCTACTTTGAAGAATCTCAAATATAAAATATATTTTGATTTGTTTAACACTTTTTTGGTTACTACATGATTCCATATGTGTTATTTCATAGTTTTGATGTCTTCACTATTATTCTACAATGTAGAAAATAGTAAAAATTAAGAAAAACCCTTGAATGAGTAGGTGTCCAAACTTTTGACTGGTACTGTATGTCCCTCCCTCTCTCTTTCCCCTTACTTCTTTTTACTCTGGCTTTAGCTCAAATTAGGCTACGTTCTCTTCTCCTAGAGTTGATGTCCGTGCCCCCGCAGAAATCTAATTAGCATGATAAAAAATCCCCATCAAAATCCGTCTGTTTAAGCTAGAGATATCTAGCTCCACATCTGTGGTGGAAGGTGGCCGAGCTACATCGGTGTTTGTCAGACCATGAGACCCTGAAAATCGGTTTTGTCATTAAAACGGTTTGGCTTACAAACTAATATGACTGCTCTATGGAAAGATGAGACTCTCAATAACACAATGGTGTTCTCTGTTTTGCTCTACAACCCACAAGAGTCACGGGACTCGTCTGAAGTTGGTACCGCCGATCTGCCAACTTCCGTATAACGCTTCCGAACAGTAATATGACCCGTCTATGGAAATGAGAGACTCTCATGAACACTTACATATCAGTCGTTTTGCTCTAGGACGCCCACAAGCCTCACAAGACTCATCTGAGGGTAGCCCGGTACCAGTTTAAAAAATGAATGGAAGTATACACTGAGTGTAAAAATCATTAGGAACACCTGCTTTTTCCATGACATACTGTAGACTGACCAGGTGAATCCAGGTGAAAGCTATGATCCTTTTTTATGTCACCTGTTAAATCCACTTCAAACAGTGTATATGAAGGGGAGGAGACAGGTTAAAGATGTTTAAGCCTTAAGACATTTGAGATATGGGCTGTGTTCCAAAATGCACACTAGCATTATGCGTTTTCACGTTCTTTCAAGGGTGATCTTCCAAGAACACCTGAGAGAGCATACTATCTAGTGTGGGAGAGCGCAGAACGCTTCACATTTGAAACGTGACCTCTAACCTAAATAGGAGACTGCATCATCACGCAGCCGTGTCAACAAAGCTAGGTTTTATGCTAGCCAGCTACGTCTGTTTACATCATAGCCAATGTGGCAGCGTGAGCAACTAGTGCTAGCAATTTAGTAAACAACTATCTCAGAATTGTCACGATCGTCTGAAGGATGAGACCAACGCGCAGCGCGTGTACCAATAAACATGCTTACTTTATTAAATGAAAGCAACCACAGAAAACAACAAAATACGATACGTGAAGTTCCACTACTGATACAGACAGCAACAAGGAAACAAAAACCCACAAACAAAGGTGAAACCACACAGATTAAATATGGCTCCCAATCAGAGATAACGAGCCGAACAGCTGACACTCGTTACCTCCGATTGGGAGTCATATGCCCAATTAACAACAAAACCAAACATAGAAAATGAACAACCAGATCCCACATAGAAATACACCCAAAAGAAAATGACAACCCTGGCTCACAACAAAGAGTCCCGGAGCCAGAACGTCACAGTACCCCCCCCTAAAGGCGCGGACTGCGACCGCGCCTCACAACCCCACAATAGGGGAGGGCTGGGTGGGTGTTGCTCCCCGGAGGCGGTTCCGGCTCCGGGCTTGACCACCACCCCACTATAGTTCCTACCCGCTTTCTTAACCTCCTCCCAATGACCACCCTCCACTTAAACCCACCTGGATTAATGGGCAGCACCGGACTAAGAGGCAGCACCAGGCTAAGGGGCAGCACTGGACTAAGGGGCAGCACTGGACTAAGGGGCGGATCCTGGCTGGACGGCTCATGGCTGGCTGACGGATCTGGCTGCTCATGGCTGGCTGACGGATCTGGCGGCTCATGGCTGGCTGACGGATCTGGCCACTCATGGCTGGCGGAAGGCTCTGGCTGATCCCGTCTGGCGGAAGGCTCTGGCTGCTCCTGTCTGGCGGAAGGCTCTGGCTGATCCGGTCTGACGGAAGGCTCTGGCTGCTCCTGTCTGGCGGAAGGCTCTGGCTGATCCTGTCTGGCGGAAGGCTCTGGCTGATCCTGTCTGGCGGAAGGCTCTGGCTGATCCTGTCTGGCGAAGAGCTCTAGCGGCTCCGGTCTGGCGGACGGCTCTGAAGGCTCATGGCAGACGGGCGGCTTTGCAGGCTCAGTACAGACGGGCAGTTCAGACGGCGTTGGGCAGACGGACAGTTCAGACGGCGTTGGGCAGACGGGCAGTTCAGACGGCGTTGGGCAGACGGGCCGTTCAGACGGCGTTGGGCAGACAGACAGTCCAGGCGCCGTTGTGCAGACGGGCAGTTCAAGCGCCGTTGTGCAGACGGGCAGTTCAGGCGCCGTTGGCCAGACGGGCAGTTCAGGCGCCGTTGGGCAGACGGCAGACTCTGGCCGTCTGAGGCGCACCGTAGACCTGATGCGTGGTGCCGGAACTGGAGGGTACCGGGCTGAGGACACGCATCTCAGGGCTAGTGCGGGGAGAAGCAACAGGGCATGCAGGACCCTGGGGACGCACATAAGTCCTAGTGCGTGGTGCCGGAACTGGTGGTCCCGGGCTGAGGACACGCATCTCAGGGCTAGTGCGGGGAGTCGGAACAGGGCATGCTGGACCCTGGGGACTCCCATAACGCCTAGTGCGGGGAGCCGGAACAGGGCATGCTGGACCCTGGGGACTCACCTCACGCCTAGTGCGGAGAGCAGGAACAGGCCGGGCGGGGCTGGCGACGCGCACCGTATCCCTGGTGCGAGTGGCCGGAACAGGCCGGGCCAGGCTGGTGAAGCGCACCGTATCCCTGGTGCGTGGAGTAGGAACAGGCCGGGCTGGGCTGGCGAAGCGCACCGTATCCCTGGTGCGTGGAGTAGGAACAGGCCGGGCTGGGCTGGCGAAGCGCACCGTATCCCTGGTGCGTGGAGTAGGAACAGGCCGGGCTGGGCTGGCGAAGCGCACCGTATCCCTGGTGCGTGGAGTAGGAACAGGCCGGGCTGGGCTGGTGAAGCGCACCGTATCCCTGGTGCGTGGAGTAGGAACAGGCCGGGCTGGGCTGGCGACGCGCACCTTACACTTAGTGCGAGGGACCGGAACAGGCTGTACCGTACGGGGAACACACACTACTGGCTGCACCTTGGGACTAGGAACGGGCCGGACCGAACTGGTTACACACCCCAGTACCACACGCCGTGCCTCAACACCTTCCCTCTCTGCTTTACCCAGTTGCCCCCTTGACCTGGTAGCCCACTGAATCCTTCCCTTCTCTGCCTCCGTCAGCCCCCTTAACCTGGCAGCCCTCTGACTCTGCCTTGTGGCGGCCTCCTGCTGCTCCGTCGCCCAAGCCATGTGCCCCCCCCCAAAAATTTCTTGGGGTTGCCTCTCGTCCTTACGACGTTGAACCTGCTGCCGCCGATGCTCCTCTCTTGCCAGGGCCTTGATCTTCCCCCAAGGTCCCTTGCCTCCGAGCATGTCCTCCCAGGACCACGCTGTGCCCACCTGGGCCATCGCCAGCCTCTCCATCTCCTTGCCCGGCGCCTCCTCCCATGTCCAGTCACCTTGCTCCTGGACACGCTGCTTGGTCTTTCTTTGGTGGGTTTTTCTGTCACGATCGTCTGAAGGATGAGACCAACGCGCAGCGCGTGTACCAATAAACATGCTTACTTTATTAAATGAAAGCAACCACAGAAAACAACAAAATACGATACGTGAAGTTCCACTACTGATACAGACAGCAACAAGGAAACAAAAACCCACAAACAAAGGTGAAACCACACAGATTAAATATGGCTCCCAATCAGAGATAACGAGCCGAACAGCTGACACTCGTTACCTCCGATTGGGAGTCATATGCCCAATTAACAACAAAACCAAACATAGAAAATGAACAACCAGATCCCACATAGAAATACACCCAAAAGAAAATGACAACCCTGGCTCACAACAAAGAGTCCCGGAGCCAGAACGTCACAAGAATGGAAATATTTAAAACTAATAACAAGTAAACAAGTAACAGATTCGATTTTCTCAGTACCTGTTAGTGTTGAATTAAGCTAATTTTATTTGGAGTCTTCCTATCGCAAATTGCTTGGTCTGCTGCTACATCGTTGTGGACATATGAAAGGTAAGCTTTTATGCATTGCACAGAGGCTGAGGCAAAAAAAAAAAAAGCTATTTTGCTTACTGTTTAAGAATGATACATAGCAAGAATAGTGATGTTTCACTGTGAAGCTAATATTGGATTTCATTAGGACTGCTGGTGTTTTATTTCCAATGAGCAGGCATTGTGATAAATTCATACAACTATAACACCCATGCAAATTATTAAATGACACTGATGTTCAAGATAGCTTGGTTTAATATTCACCTGCATTGATAACAAATATTGATAGGCAATATGATACAATACAACTAGATTAGAAGGCCTAGACTACTTCATCCTAATGTAGCTAATTGCATTGGATACAAAACAAACACTGGCATATTATAAATGAGAACATGTCCAATTTAATTATATGCATGCATATCAAACAGGAATATACCATATTAAATGAATACACCATTGTAATATTATGAATGCCTTTATCTCTCCTTGCAGGGGATTAGACAGATGAACTGCAGCCCCCAGATGACCAAGTCTCAAAACCAGAACCGTGGAGAGACATCAACACTTTTATTGGTTTTCCTATATCTGTGCATGAATCCTTAAAACACATTCCATTGTACAAAAGAAGTCAAGTTTCAAGTTGTATTAGTCGTATGTACAGCATACACATGGTCCAACAAAATGCTTACTTGTAGGTTCCTTCTCGACAATGCAA